GTTCCAGGTCATACATTGTTCCGGTTATTTAAAATGTATCGTGGAGGCACCTATCGGGTCGGAATACGAGGACGGTGTTGGACGGTGCATCCGTAATGTCGGTTTAATGGCCGTTGGCCATTCGCTGCCGACCAGTTCCATAACCGAAATTAAATTGCATCACAACATGTTCATGTTTCGAGCTTCACTCGATTTGAAGCTCATATTCCTGGATGCGCGGTAAGATTTTACAAATTTATATATATATAGATTATATATAAGCATATAATTTATATAATAATTTTAATTTATTTATCCCCCATGGGTCATTATCTCTTTTATTTTAAACTCTATTCTTTAGTTAACATTTTTGTAAATTAATGTGTGTATGGGATCAGGATCAAACTTGAGATCTGCTTGATTACAAATCCGCCGCTCCTACACGGAGCCACATATTATTCAATTTTGTTGATACACCCCCTCCTCTCCCCTCCCCACACACATACATATACATGTCTAATAATTCTCATACTATTTACTTACAAATTATTTTTATGAATAATTATCAACAAAGTTGACACCTTTTCTCATATTGTTCTACCAGTAATTGCAAAAAAATAAATATATAAAATAAATATATAAATAAATACAAAAATAAAAATTAGTTAATGAATCACAAAATGTGAAAGTTCCTCAGTTAAAGCAAGTAATAAATCAGAAAATTATTCTTGCAATTATGATTTCGTGCAAAAAAAAAGAATCTTTCTCTTAGATCCGGATCTCCTCGCGTTGCTAAAGGAAGCGAGCGGTGTTGACTCGAGCACCGGGACACAGTGGATTATTTATTTCCAATGTAATTATAGTTGGGTGTCGTATTGCGCCATTAATATTTCGATGGAGAGCCCGCGCGGTACTCTCGGCCGGGAGGGATACGGCCATTAAAATCAGTTTCGTGTTACCGCGCTGCCATGTATCCTCTGTTTTTTTCTCTCCATCCGCGGCAAATAAATATCCACCACCGGCGGTCCTGGTAAGCCCTACACACCATCTCGCTTGCACTGGGAACGAACACACGTGACGCAGTATAAATATAGCGCGGATAGAAGCGCGCGATGAAATTTTATACATATACGTCGATCGGAATCGGCTCGCGTGGATTGTGCAAACTCGCCACGCTCGCACCGTAAATCCCGACGAAAACAAGCTCGATCTGCGAAAAGCGATCAGCGAACCTATATCTCTGTAGCCTTTTGGGCTGTAGCCCCATGTTGGAACGCTGCGCGCGAGTGATATCGGGTGTGTTGCGAGCTGGGAATAACTATGTGGCTTTTCTATGGAAATAGACGCATCTCTTTACATCAAAACTCTGATTGAGACGAAAATTAAAAAGCGATAAAATTCAACTTAATATAATATAAATCTTTAAAATTCTTTTCGGAGAAAATAAAGTATGTACACGAAAGGACGTGTTTTTGCGTGAAATATGCGAAAATTTGGCCACCGATTTAAAAATAATTTTGTTGGGCTATCAAAATAATTGTGTAATAAATGTGCAAGCGTGATAACAATACTGCAAAACTTTTTTATATTCTGGCGACCAATTTCGTTTTATATAATTATTTTAATTGCAGAATAAAATTATTTTCAAATTTCTATTTGGCCAAATTTATACTAGATACTTTAGCAGTACTGTTCTTTTGTGTATTTTTAAAGTATGTATGGATGCTGGAGTTAAAAATGCGTAGGACAAAACGCAGAAAGTAAAGAAAGAAAGCAAAGAAGAATGTATGATATTATGTATGTTTTGTGTGTTACAGCGTAGCTCAATTAACAGGCTATGATCCACCGGATCTAATCGAGAAAACACTATATCATTACGTGCATGGATGTGACGTCCTGCAACTGCGACATGCTCATCACGTTTGTAAGTATTTCGTTATGAATTATACAACACACATGCGCGTGCACACATAAATATACACACATTATTACGTATAATTCATATTATTAAACAAATTAAATGATTTGTAATATTCTAATATTCATTATTATTTATAGAATTCTATTTCACGCTACACATTGCTAGAGCAAACGTTTGATATTATCTGTTATTATCAATTTATTATTATAGCTATGATATTGCACTTCTTAATGTGTTTATATATTTTCTTAAAACAATTTAATTTACTTCACTACTTTTGCTTTCAGATATAATAACTTTTCTAGTTATTTATTTAACAAATTATAGAAATTATGTTTGCGTTGCATCTTTTCTCACTTTTTCAATTTTTAAATCAACATTCTCAAAAATATCTATTGACAGAGCTTTAAGAAAAGCTTTTCCTCTTCACGCTTTCTTATGCCTCACTCATAGGGATTATCGGCTTTTCACTTACTCGCTCGCGGATTATATTTTTACATTTTTGCTTATATTTTCCTCACCAACTCAAAAGCCACCGTTTCAGGCTGAATAATAACATTCGCGAATACAAACGCTTGAAAATATTTTCCTTCGAATAGTTTTTCCCGTTGACCGGTGGTCCGGTCCAAGATCCTCTCAAACGTCGACACAGTATACTCGATGAGGATAAGCTCTTTGTAGAACGGAAAGCAGCTGACGCCGCTTATTTCACATACGCCCTTACGAAACATCCTTTGATCTTACCTCGCTGCTTCTCGCCTGCGCGTATTTCCACGCTTTTCCATTTTTCCTCTCTCTCCCCCCCCCCTCTCCCTCGCCCCCTCGTCCCCTCGTCCCGGAACACCATCACGCGCGCTTATTTTAAGTATGTGCACACGTGTACCTAGGGTGCACCTAGGGTGTACATTATTGATTGAACAACGCTGCCACAGCGCGCCGACGAAAAGAGGCGGCTGCTGGGTGCGCGTCTGTACACGCGAAAGAGAGAACAAGAGAGCGAGAGAGAAAGAGAGATTGACGATAAGAGCGGTAAGCGGGTGGAAGTGAGGTAGGTTTAGCGAGAGGTGTGAGCGAGGTAGGAGGCTGTTACTGCTATCATTGTTTGAACAGACTCGCAGTTTCATGAGCGCGACTCGAAGGGAGTCTGACATAATGCCGCTAATATCCGCGCCTGCGGATTGCACGACGTCGCTGTCATTCCGCTCGATTATTTTTTTTTTTTTTTTTTTTTCTACGATTGCATACGGCGCTTTGTGCATACGAAAAGTCGTAAACGAAGAGAAACCTAATCTTTCTCTCAACTTTTAATAAACTCTCCTTTTTTCTCAATTATTTTTGATAGTATCATCAACGAAATTAAGCTAGCAGTTTACTCTCGTTTCAAATTATCATTCTTAACAAATAAAATTTCTTCTAATTTAATTTAATGTTATTAATGCAAATAACATGTAGATTATAAGTTATATGCGAGATTGATCAAATGTTAATTTTTATTAAAAATTTGTAAAGAAATCATCATTAATTTGTTGACAGTGCTGCGCAAGGGTCAAGTGACAACAAGGTACTATAGGTTTCTGACAAAAACTGGCGGTTGGGTGTGGATGCAGTCGTACGTGACAATCGTGCATAACTCGCGAAGTTCACGTCCGCACTGCATCGTGTCCGTCAACTACGTGTTGACGGCCACCGAGAACCCGGGCTTGATCCTGAATTGCGAGCAGAAATCGTCCTGCTCGAGTCCGGGAAATCCTCCGAGCGCTCCCGTGTCGACACCAGTCACGATTGGTGCAAGTGACCTGGACAATCACAGCCCGAGCCCGCCTTCTTATCGCAGAACCAAGGAACCACCCGATACCGATTACGCTGACAGTTCTGGTTATCCCAATTCGGACTACATGGCAAGTTCGAATCACAACCATTATCTGCCATCGTATGCATCGCACAGCATCAATGGCGCTCACGAGGATAGCGCTTATTACAGTCCGGATTTGTTCTATCAGTACAATGGTGCGTTTTACAATTGATTTATATCTTGGAGTTAATTTTTGTTTAGAGCTTAAGATAATAAAACTATAAATAAAGTTCTCTGGTGAAATATAAATTGTTTAAAATAGATTTTGCATCTATAAATGAAATTTTTATATATTTTTTTTATTAGTTACAGATTATTAACTATCGAAATATATAAAAGAAAAACTAAACGTTGAAGAAGAAATTATTTTCTCACTGAAAAGAGGTCATCACTTTCTTAGCTATTCTATTCTTAAATAATATTTTATAACTGCTAAAACCTATTATACTACATATGTATACTATTATAAAATAAAAAAATTTGTCTTCTTCTACCATTAATTTTAGTCACTAGCCTTTCGTTATTCCAATAAAAAAGGATTATAGTTTACTCAATTTTAACTTTTTCTTTTAATCTTGAGACCTTCACCAAGATCCCGTCAATGCCTTGCATCACCAACAAGATACGCATCATCAGCATCTTCTGCATCACGTCACATCCCTGACTATTCAGCAGCACAGCCCGCAGAACAACCAGCAGAAACGGCAACATCCCCAACACATATTGCATCAGGGTGGAACCTCGTTGACGTCTCTCGAACAGCAACAGCAACACAGTCCGCAGAGCGGCCAGCAGAAACGGCCTTACTCGACGTCCTCGAGTTCCTGCGCTAGCAACGACGGCCTGGACGTACACCTGACGAATTCCCTGTTACCATCGGGATACCATTCGTCGCATCATCATCATCATCACATGCCGCCGGATTCGACGTCGTCGACGACGTTGAGCGAGGCCGGCGGCGTCATCATGTACCCAAACTGCGGTTTCAACAACAACGAAAGCTATAACACCGCCCCGCTGCAGCAGCATCACGATGGCTATCAGCAGGGCCACCCTCAAGGCCACCATAGTAACGGTACGGTGAAGCATCCGCATCATCATCATCTGGACGCTTCGTCGGCCGGCTACACCAGCGTTATCGTCGATTCCCAGCAATACAGCCCTAACACTGTTTCCCAGGATCTGCATGGACACCAGACGGCACCGGTGAACGGCGGCACGCCGCCGCTGCACCACCAACCTCATTACGAGACGCATCATCAGTTTGTTCACTGACATCAATTTGAGGTGCCTTGCGCGTAGCACTTCGACGCCGCTTGCGACGATGGCGCGTGCGGGCATCATCAACATCATCATCGTCATCATCATCAGCAACAGCAACAGCAGCAGCAACAGCAGCAGCAGCAGCAGCAGCAGCAGCAGCAACGTCATTGCGCAACGTCAGAATGTAGTGGAGAACAGTATGCTGAGCATGAGATGAATAGTGAAACTTACCATCTTACTGGGTCTCAGGTCACCTATGTCACGCCCTACAAACGACTCTGGAAGCTGGAGGAGCGAAGTGTCCCGACTTTAAGAGGTAATTCCTATTTGTTTTATTGAAGGATCAATACCAGCTGATAATAATTATTGCCTATCATAAATAGTTACATAGCTACAATAATCCATAAAGGTCTCTTTTTTGAGTGTCAAGTTTCTTTCAATGTGCATTTCAAATTTAATATTATTTTCTGCAAGCAAATAGAGATTTAGATAAAAATAATTTTCACGGAAATTCGATAAGAATACGTAACACAAGAAGAATACGATACATTTTAAAGATTTAAATTTTTTTGTGATAGATGCTTCCCAAAGTTCTACGTAGGGAAAGGGAGGCTGCGGCAAAACTGGCATACCATCTGTGAGCTAAGCTTGAGGAAACACGTAACTGACCCTACTCATAATTCTACGCCGCGCATGTTTTTCTTTTCCTCATATTATCACATTATCGCAGTAGAATTTCGATAGCGACGTCGACGACTTCAGTGACGGTCAAAGCGAACCTCTTTGACTCGAATATTCTTTATCACAACTTTGATAGGTATTATTAAAATGAAAATATGATAATGACGAGATAATTCTAATAACATTTTTGAAAATTATAAAAACTTTACGGGATCAATCTCGATTGTATTGCAATTAGAGATAATTATTTATAAGAAAATTTAACAAAAGAATATTTTCGTAGACAATATTATTTATTTATTTTTCAATTTTATAAGTAATCAAAGATGGTTTTTTAGATTATGTAGTTAAAAATAGAATCTCTAACAGAAAAAGGACTTTCTAAAATTCTGATATTCTAGATAACTTTTTAATGTCTTGAGAATATTCACGGAAATTTTTAAAAAATAAATTATCAAAAATTTTCCATCTCTAATTGCAATATTATCACAATAATATAACAAAATTTAACACTATTAGTTGCAACTTTGATAGATACAATATAGGAAAATAGACATGTCAGTGCTATAATTATCATTATAAATGCGGGTATATTAGTCGAGTCATCATGATTGAAAATTAATGCGAATGACGTATGTTTAAGAAAATAATAATTTTATGTTACAGATAATATTACGAGTAAATGGAGACTCAATTCCTTTGTACTTTCTTTTCTATCACATATTTCAAGATGAGAGAGTAATAATTCATGCGATAATGTAATTCAGCCTCAGTTAAATATTTCGCAATCAATAGTGATTGTTGCAAATACTGCGTAGGTAGAAGTTAAGGATTTTATACGCGCTGGTCGCGAATTCTTTTGGTACTCCGCGAAGAGTAATTCGACAAAATCAGCAGATGTAAAGTATCAATATTAGAATATTTGAATTTGAAAGCGATATGTGAAAGATATTAAAAGCAAGAGAGAAAGTATATATTGATTTTCACAAACTTTTTATGCTTATTAGTATCAAAGGCAACGTGAAATCGGATAGATTCACGTAAGTAAGAATTCTATGTAAATTTATTTATATTATGAAATAATTCTAAATAAAATTTAGTATATTGTGAATCATACGAAGTGTCCTAGAATTCGCACACACATGATGTAATTTTCTGTCAAAAGAAGAAGTATCTTTAGCTTTAAGATAAAGTTGTATCCAAGCGGTAATTTTTAAATAAAAATCAAGTTAACAGAATGAATGCTGTACTATTAGGCATGCGTTTTGAAATATTTAAATAATTCACAAATATCTTTAAAATGCCTAGAAACAATATTTTAAATAAAAGTTATTCATGTGTCATCCAATTTATTTATTTTACGTTTAATTGTTACTTTACAGATATCAAAAAATTTTCTCGTATTGTTGTCTCCTAAAGTAACAGATATCATATAATTATGTTATGAAATCTTTAAAAAGATATTAAAACACATGATTTATACATATTATTGATTGATATCAAGCTCGGTTAGTTAGCTTAAATTGTCATTTAAAAATTATTTCTTGCACACAATTTTATTTGAAAAAAGCGTTGCCTCTAGCACAGAGAATCGCATGTCGTGCGCGAAATCTGAAACATTTAGTATGTCGCAATTAAGTGTTAAAATATAAAATTATAAAAAATTTTTCCCCACGAAATTTTAATGATTTATAACGACTAGATAAAAAAAGATGGTTTTAATTGCAGTGTCGCGTATATAAATTTTCTATATAATTTTAAATAATTACACATATGTCATTTTTATTCTTTTAATTTTTCAATTGCTCATCGAGACAAAATATTCTAATATTCTAAATAATATACCGATCAGGCTGTTTACATTGTTGCTGTACATTACCATTAATGCGAGATGTTTTTTTTCTCGAATGTAACACATACTGTAAATATTGTAGACGTGTAAATTATTATTCTAATTGCCATAAAAATGTATATAACAGCACTTACGCGTCGATCCGCGAAGACTGACCGGTGCATGTGCCAATCGACCAAAGAAATTTGCGCTCTTTTTATCGAAGAATTAGTATTATATTTTTAATCGCGCTTGTGTAATGACGATATCCAATATAAATAGAAGAGTGAATATATTGTAAATATACCTAAATGCGTAGCACAAGGCCCAGTATACTTTGATCGTCGCGAGATATTTTATTACGAATAGAGAAGGATTCGTCATAGATCATGTTATGTATAAATGCATATATAATCGACACCGAAATGAAGATGAATGCGAAACCTAACTCTTTTTTCAATATCCCTCTCGGAACATGAGAAAAGAGGACTGTTTCAGCCATTTTAATGCCGACTATATAACGCAGTCCTGATTATTTATATCAACGTAAAGTGTGAGATTTCGTAGCGAAGAGGCAAGGTGTGTCCGCGTCAAGTATTGTAAATATTATAAAATTATAGGACGCACTGTACACATATATAAATATATATATATATATATATACAAGAAAATATATCATATTTTCCTCTGAAAAATATATCATATTTTTCACTCGTCGCCTTACCCCTGCTTCAATAAGTTTCTTACACAAGTACAATTTTATAAAATTTGAAATATTAACGATAAGCTAACGTTATTCTTTGATAAATAAGACAAAAGACATATTTAGCACCTATACGCAAATAAATGATATAATCAGAGGTACTTTATTTTATAATCATGACAAATTTATTTTAAGATTTGCATTTAACATAAAAACGTGCTAAAATGTTTTTTCAATTTTTTAAACCTGTAATACAATTTTTGCTAGAAACTATGATTTTTTTTTTTAAATTGGAGAAATTTGTAAGTTGCATAAATATATTGAATATTATTTGATTATAAAAGCAGATTTTTTAACTATTGGATTATCGAACATTTCAAAAATAGAAAATGACAGTTGATTTAATCTTGTCGTGAGATCTTTATCACGGATTCATGACTGGATCTTCGAAATACGTGTTATATGTAAAAGGACGACAATAATGGATCGTTAAAACAATCGATGTCGAAAAGGCATTGAAAGGCAATAATGGACATTTCAGGTAATACACCCTCGCAATATTCTCACGATTAAATTAAGAGCCAGGAATGAAATTGCGGGATCGCACACAAAAGCGATCCATGTTCAGTAGGGGATCCTTCGTCCCAGCACGTAAAGCATGCTGAAGCAATGATTCCGTTTTTCTGCCGTGCGACCCTGATTGTCACTCGACTGGCACAAACAATAAATTAATTGTGCCTCGCACAATTCGGCATCGGCTAGCTTTCGGCGGTCGTGTGCTTGCTGGCATGACGTCTCTAAAGAGGCACGTGCCAGTTTATAATCGCCATTCAGCGTCTTTCGCTTTCGTGCGCTCAAAGCAAGCAAAAAGATAGGTTTCATAGAAATCATTAGATTTCCCAAAGTCGACTTGCTAAATCTGAATGATATGTCACTAAACTTTTTTTTTTAAATATATATATATTTTTTTTTTCAAAAAGAATGTGAAGAGGGATAGAAAAGACAGATAGTTATTTATCTAAAGTTACGCGTACAACACTTGTGAGATTTGTAGCAAAATTGATCTGCAATTGTTTACAGAATCATTTAAATTGAGGATGTGCCATGGGAATATTTTTTTATTGTTCGTTACTCTTATACTTTCTTCTGTTGTTTATCATGGTATATAATAGATTTAGTGAAATTCTCAAGAGATTCCTAATGTGATTCTTATAAATGTTTATAAAAGTTTTTCATTTTTTGATACGAGACTGACAGGAAATTTCGAAGCGGATATTGCATGGCAGACATGGGCCTTAAACCGATACTGCGGGTGGTATTTGACAATCGGAACTTTCTGTAACGACTGATCGCACAATTTCACAGAATCGTGGTCGCGTTCCATTTCGGACCGAAGAATTTAACGAGCCGCACGCGGCTCCGCGCAACCTCGACACGTCGTCGCACACGACCCCTAATGGCACCCCTCGTAGACTATCCCGCCTCTAACATTCTCATTATACCCGTGCTATGACTCGTATGTTTCTTTCATTTATTTGCTCTTACGTATATACAACGAGGACTTTATCTATCGGTAGAATATCATGCGGAAAAAGATTAGTCGATCATTACAGAGAAAAAGAGAAATAATTTTGCTGAAATATCTATAATTTGGTCAAGTCTATAAATCTATTTATAGACTTATAGACTTATAGGAAATAATTTTGTTGGGCTATCAGAATAATTAGAATGATAATTACGTAAAACACTTAAGCATAATAATAACACTATAAACATTTTTTATATTCTAGCAATGGCTTTAAAT